CCTCCCCCTCCTCCTCCTCCTCCTCGAGGAGGAAGCGGCGCCGACCCCGCGCCGATCCCCGGGAGGGAGGGCGGGCGCGTGGCGGCGCGGGCCGCCGGCGGCCGAGGCCGCGCAGGTCAGATATCGGAGCGGCGGCGCGCCGGGGAGGGAGGCTAGAGAGGCGGAGCACGAGGAGAGCAGTCCTCGCGCTGGGAGGAAGAAGCTTGGGAGGATAACTGACTACCTACCAGACCACCCCAACCCAACCCGAAGACCCGAATTTCGGGTTGGGGGGGGTATGGGCTCCATATGTGTTTTTTCGATGTTCCCGGACCCCCCCCCACTAGAAATCGAGGGTAAATCTGAGCCTTCGGGTTGGATTGGGGTGGTTTGGTGGGTGGTGAATAACGGGTATGAAGGGTTTGGGAGGATGGAGGGCATGCAGGGCATGAAGGGATCGGGAGGAGGAAGGGCACGAAGGGGCTGGGAACAGGAAGGGTACGAAAGGGCCTGGGAGGATGCAGGGTGCGGAAGGGCTTGGGAGAATGACGGGTATGAAGGGTTTGGGAGGATGGGGGGCATGAAGGGCATGAAGGGATTGGGAGGAGGAAGGGCACGAAGGGGCTGGGAAGAGGAAGGGTACGAAGGGGCCTGGGAGGATGCAGGGTGCGGAAGGGCTTGGGAGGATGAAGGGTATGAGCAGTACCATCCGGAGGCAAGGAACGATGCCTTCGGCCGCCCACGGGCAAGGATGTCCTCATTTCTCCCACCCCCATCCTCCCAACCCGATAATCGTCTTCCTGAGAATAGGGGATCGGCTGCAGGACTGATTCACCCCTGATCCAGAAAGTCCGTCGGATCTGGAACCGACACGCTGAGCTTTTCGTAGATCTGCCGAGCCTGCTGCGCATTTTCTTGCACACTCGACGAACCAATCCATTCTGGGGTAAGTCAATTCTGTAGTCGACGCCCTCATCGACCAGGGGGGCAGGCCTCCTCAGAAGGCGGCGGGGCTTGCGAGACAGGGCTTCCCGGAGGCCCTCTTGACTTGTCAAACGCCCCCCCCCCCCCCCCTGTGGCTTCGGGGAAGGCTCGGAAAGACGCTCAGAGGACCGGAGGACTTCTGAGCCTTCTGAGGCGGCCTGCTGTCTCTGCCTTCCCCCCTGGGCACGCCGCCGAATCGGAGCCGACCAAAGCCGCAGGCTACAGGAGCCACGCGTTGCGCAGCCAGGTGAGGAACGTCGCACGGGGAAGACGCCACCACTCGCAGAGGGAACGCTTCCGGGTCCCACCAGACAACGCTTCTGGGCCTCGACCTATCCGATAGTATGGTTAGGTTGTCTCGATCCTCCATGAGAACATGCCAAATCGGAGAGACGTGATAGGGATAGCGACAGAGCTGGTGAAAATAATCAGGCCAAAGACGGTAGCATAAACTGAATCGTACCAAAAGCAATTAGTTCACGAACTGCTAGACAATGTTCGGGAAGTCTGCCAAAATAAGATTTCGCTTCAAGATCACTGCCTGCAAATGAGCCGTACACGACTTCGGCTCTTGCCTTTCAAGACCAGCGAGAACGGTAAGGAAATCACTACACAATGCTTTAATATGTACCGACATGTTTCCAAGAGAGCTTCCACAATAAGTGTCAATCAAACCATCATCATCTGCAGAAGTGTATGCACTCACGGCTGCCTTTGCAAAGATCTGCAGCGACATGCAAAGGAATGGAGCGCTGGAGATTCGCTGGCCCCCTCAAAAAGGGGCATCAGGCTGCACAGCTTAGGACTCAGGAACTGAGCAGCATTGAGCCAGAGGCTATGATTGAAAATTGGGTGTTCGTTACCAGGGGGGGGCACCACGGGGGGGAGGGGGAGGGGGGGGGAACGTGGGGTGAAGAAACGTGCACACTTCGTGCACCTTTCGGGCCCGCGATGGCAGTTCGGCAACCTCTTAGGTTCCCATTTAGGGCCACTTGCCTGCAATCCTGAGGAGCAATGGAACTGGCACAGGGGGGGAAACATCGACCTTGAATCGGCGATGCATCGCCGATAGATCGGCGATAGGCCCCCGACACTAAATCCGCACGTTCCTGGGCAGGCTGGTGCTCGCGGGCCCCTATCGGCGATCCACGGGCGATTGGGGGTCAATGCATCCCCCCCTCATGCCTGTCCCCCCTGTCGTTGCCCATGAAATCCTCGATCCCTAAAACAGGGCTAGGATCGGGATAAATCGCTCCAGAGCGTTCCGAAGCGCTCTCAGAGCGTTCCGGAGCGCTCTGGAGCGGCCGCGGCGCCCAATACATCCTCCAAACCCGCCGATTCTCAGAGATTTCGAGTTATCCCGATCCGATTTTGTCCCGATCTTCGCGTCGTTTTAATCCCCCCTACGCTCACTGCCCTCCCGTCGCCGTCCACCCGAGACGCACTCTAGCCCGAGAGGCCCCCCGGCTGGCGCTCCGGCAGGCCCCTCCGCACGCGCCGCGCCGGCCTCGCGGGCACCGCCCGGCGCCACGAGGGGGGGGGGCTCCGGGAGCCGGGGCCGGCTGCCGGGGGAACGCCGCGGAAGCAGTGCTGGCCGCTGGTGGGGCGAAGGGGGGGTCTGCCTGACCAGCGCGTCTGCACGGCAGAGAGACACACACACACACACACACACACACACACACACACACGCACACACACACGCACAAACACACACACACACACACACACATCAGGAGAACTCCTCCCGATCTCTCCTCGCCTCGTGGGTAGGCAGGCAGTTCGCCAGAAGCAGAGGCGTGAGGTGCAGAAGGGTCGGAACGTGAGGGGTACCTGGAAGACTCGCCCCGGCCTGCCCCCCCCTCAGGACAATCCATAACTTCGTGGACTCGAGGGGCACGCTCGCCGTCGAGTCCTGAGCCTCCCGAGGTGCCCTTCGCGCTCCGTGGGCCCCGGGGGCCCGTCCCAAGGGGGGGCCGTCGGGGGGCGCCTGCCGGCCGGCCGGCGTCTGCACGGCCTAGTGCGACGGTGGGTCCCTCCCAGCGCAAGTCTGCAGGCGTCACCGCGCGCAGTGCCGTCGGGCGCCCAGCACTTTTGGGGATGGTGCCGCCTACTGAACGCACCGAGCGTCGGACGCACATAGCTGTCCGCCTCGCAAGCAGCGGGAATATGAGGCTCCCAACGCGCGCGCACCACCCTGGGCCCTGGAGGAGCGCATGACCACAGAAGCATGTACACCACCACTCTCTTGAGGTGCTCTAGGTGGCACGACCTTCTGTGGAAAACTATGGAACCGCACCCCCCTCCTCACAACCCCTTGAAAAAATACGGGTCCGCGGTCTCAAGGCAACACTCTCAATACAGAAGCAAAGAAAGGTCCCCGCCCCCGAGGCCACAACCCCTCGAACACAAACGAGGCCACGCTCCTTCGCTTCAACACTATGGATACGCGCTCCCAAGCCCTCGATCCCTGTCGAAACTACGTACACGAGTTCCCGAGGCAATGGTCCCTCGCAGAAAAAGTTCGACGTTCCCCAAGCGGTAGTCCCTAGCGAAAACAATGCACCGCGCTCCCACGGCCAATACCGCGGAAGAAAACGAGTTGTCCGCACTCCCGAAACCACTGACCTTCGTAAACATACGATGGGTTCAGCGCTCCGAGGTCGCAAACCTGCCCACTAATTAGCGAATCACCCAGCCAAACCACCCAGCCACGCAGGCAATCGGAAGGGGGGCCGTTGACAGGAGGCGAAACCCTCTGGATACCTCTAAGAAGATGGTCCTTGGTATCGCCGCGGCTACCTCCGAACCAGTGCTGTATGATCTCAATGGGCTCCATCCCTTCGAACTGGATCAAGACGTTGTCTTTCCACGCGCTCCTGTCCTGAGACCAGGCCGCCAAAGAGAAGCTGGCGGGCAGAGCGTGGACATCGGACTTGTAGAAGCTGCGGTACGCCCCCTGGCTGGACGCCCACCCCCCGACTGCATCACTGGCGCTGGGGGTGTCGAACACGAACGAATCCGCCGACCCCCGCCTTCCTGGCGTGACGGGGGGTGCAAGATTGAAGGGGCCCTGGTACACACAGATAGATAGACACAGATAAGAGGACTCCCCATATTTTCCCACATCTTCTGGGTTTTTTCTTCCCCCCCGCTTCCCATATTTCCCCATCTTTCCTGGAGAATCGACGCTTGATTGTGTCTGTGCGTTTTTTCCCCTCCCGAAAGACGTTCGGCCGCTCCCCTGTACCTGCTCCTGGGCAGTGCCAAGGGGGGGGTCCTCAGGGGTCGCCGCCTCGCCAGGGAGGACGACCCCCGAGGACCCGGGCGAGGAGGAGGCAAGGGGGATGAGGACGCCGAGGGGAACCAGCAGCACAAGGTGCGGGTAGAGAGAGAGAGAGAGAAACACGGAGAGAACAACAAAAAATAATTGAGAAAGAAAAATGGAGGAGACCCGCCCCATGCAGCGCGCCGGGTCCTGGCCTGTGCGCCTTCGATGAAAGGCACACTTAACAGCGCAAGAGCCCGCACTCTCGCGCACCGCATCGCGGTCAGGCGCAGTCGGCCCTCGAGGCGTTTGACCCCGAGGCCTTGTGAAAACATATATCTGGCGCGAAAGTTGTTGAGAATTGAATACCGAGACCAGTGAAGCAGCCGAATTTGTGTCCTATCGAGCGCAGACGGATGGTGACCGTCGAGACCAGTCTGGAGAGATGTCGGGGTGCCAACGCTTGAGACGGCGCCCAGCCATCTCCTGCAAACACGGGAGAAGAACCAGCTCGGACAACATGCTCGTCAGCGCGCACGGAATCCTCGGACACTCGGCTGAACCGGGTCCCCAGGGGCGATTAATGACACTTCTGGGGGTCTGCCTGACATAGTTGTACATGACGACAATTTGTCTTACAGGGGACGCCCGATAACATCGATCCCACTTCCACCCCAGAATCAAGTCATCCCCCCTATAACTCCTCATCCAACTTCCTTTCCAACTGGACCCGATGACCCCTCCGAGTCTTAGTTGCAGCGTTCGGGATGGCGTATCCTGGGCAGGTGAGGATATGCAGGCCGTCTCTCTCTCCCTCTCTCTGCACTGTCGGCAAACTTGGGGATGGCGAACAAAGAAGCAACAAATAAAAGGACGGATGCGGCGATGGACTTGTAGGAGAGGAACGAGTGGTGCAAGCCTCCAGCCAGCGATCTGATGCAGCGGCACCTTCCAAAGTATTTCGCAATCGGGCCAGCCCACGATTTCTCGATTAAGTCCAGCACCCAACGTCACCCATAAATACTTACCACAATGCTACATGATGGGCTTCAGAACCCTAATTCCATTCTGCTGAGGTTTGATGATCTCCTCGTCCCTCTCCACCTCCCTGTAAAATGTGATGACGCACTTCGATAGATTCATCATCAGCCATGTGGCGAAGGCGCCGAAGGAAAGGATCGCCAAGAGAACTGGGAAAGCGGCGCGCACACTGCGCGAGAAGAGAGCCATGCCGTCCGCGAGCGCATCGAGGGAGCGCAGGCCGGAACGCCGACCGATAATGTAAAGCAATATTGGGTCCAGACAGAACATGAACACGCATCCAGACAACAAATTACCTTGGCAGACCCCATCGACGAATCTCGAAACTAGGGGCCATCCTTCCTCCGAAAATCACGTCGACCGAGATCTGCCGATTGAACGCTTGAACTGAAAGGATGAAGAATTCGGGGGCCCCCATGGACCTGAGGGCGAACTCTAACCAGGAGTGGGGGAGGCCGTGGAAGGCGGCTTTGACGTCGAGCGGGAACCAGCCGGCTTCCCTCGTGCAGCGAAGCGCCGCGTGGCGCAGCACATGACACTCGATCTTGAGAATGTTGTCCAGCATCGGCCCGGCGCGGGTGAAACTGTCCTAGCGCCTCAGGCGGCCAGCCCGCTGGCCAGCTAGAGCCCCCTTCAAACGAGCTCCGAGGATCTTGGCCCAACTGCTGCTCAACGCGACGGGGCAAACGTCCTCCGAGGCCCGCCAAGACGAATGTTTTTCTTCAGCTTTGCAACTGTTCGGGGCGGAAACCCTGGCGCCTTGCCGTTGAAATCGCTACCAGGCGGGTCGCCTGTCTGAGAATAGCGGCAGAGGTCATATTGGACGTCGGACACAAACTCGCCACCGTTCTTGAGGGCCGACTATCAAAGCCCGCCAGGGCCTGGGACAATCGTTGAACCGACTCACAAGATGGCGAAGACCTGCCCGAGATACTGGCCACTCTACTCCAGGATGGCGGGGCAAGGCAGACGGGGCAAACTTGGCGGCGACCTCGCGAGAGGCAGACATTTCTCGGCGTGCCCGAGCACACTGGCGACGAAGGGCGTCGGCACCTGCTTCTAGAATCCGCAAGAACCACGCGGCGGTTTCTAGGGGCCCAAGCTTGGACTCTCTTTGGACACGCGGACCTCTGAGGGTCGGCGGAACGAAGTCCTCCACCAGCTCCTTCCTAGCCCCCCCCAGACCCCCCGGCCACCCTTCCCATGCGTCGGTGGAAACCATGCCCGTCAATCCGAGGCAAGGCCTGCGGATCCTCGAAGCAGGCGAGCTCGGGCATCAAAGGGCGAACGCTAGCTTGATGACTCTCTTGCGCCCGCTCCACATGGCCAGATTGAAATCGAACAACCGCGACAAGTGCCAGGCGGCAGAGACGGGCGGCGAGCGCTTGGACTGCTGCCTTACTCGATCGGCCGCGAGATACACGCATTCTTTGATCTCTTCGACCCAGGCGGGCGGGCGGCCCGAGAAGCCGGCATCTGCAATGGAACGGCGAAAAGCAGCTGGAAACCCCGGACGAAATACGGGAGAATTGGCCGGGGATGGACACGCGGAGAGGGCTACAGGACAGCGATCGCTCGGGACATGGAGATCACAAACGTCCCAGACCGCCAGGCACATGGGCGACAGCCGATCACGTCGGCTCTGCACGAATTTGAGAAGACGTGGTCGGCGCGCGACAACGCCCAGACCAAACGGGCGCCGGAGTCGGACGCGACTCCGGCGGGGGGGGATAGCAGTTTGAGGATTTGGAGCACTTGCGCGGCAGAACGCGCAGGAAGAAAGAAAGGAGGGGGGGTAGAGCACCAAACAAATGGGCGGCTGGCTGGCGCCCGAGCTGCAGCCGCGCGCGATCCGCCCCGGCAGCCGTCTCGGGGGGCTCTGCGCACGTGGGGAACTGCATTGGGGAACTCGCCCTGCGCGACGCGGGCTAAGCTCCCACGACCCTGCCGAGACGGGCCAGCTGCCTCAGCGGCAAGCCGGCGCCCGCCAACGGTGGCTCCACGACCGCGGCGGCGGCGGACGCGCATGCTAGAGCGGGCCACAGGCCCAGGCAGCGCGACGCGCTGGGCGCGAGGCCGCACACCTCACTGGAACCCGCGCAACAACTCCTCGGGGCCGCTTCCGGGCAGCACCAGAAGCACAATCCGAAACGCAAAACTCAGAGGCGCGCCCCAGGTTGAGATAGCCACGCGCCTGGGGCAAACATAGCGCTTGCCACGCTTCGAAATTTGGCGGGCACCGACGGGGGCTTCCGATGCAACCAAGCGCTTCAGGGACCAGGGCGCGCCGATTCCACCAGGTGACCCCCTGAACGGGGCATCCTTGGATTGGGGGCGGGGGGCCTGAACGGTCGCCCCACCCAATCCAGCTCTGGGAACAATTGCAGACCCATTCAACTTGCTGGAAATTCTGGCAGCAGTGCCCAACCATTCTGCGCCCACGGAGGCATCGACCACATGCTTTGAGGGAGCTCCGCACGAACCCGCCGTCTCTCCCCTCGACGGGGGCCCAGGCGAGGCGGCGTCCGCCACCCTCTCCATCGGGGCCCCGCATGGCTCGGACGGAGCGGAGGAGCCGGAAGCCCCCCTCGGAGCAGCTCCGTCGGGGCCGAAGATGGATTCACCGACCGCCCTCCCACGGGAGGCCCCATCCTCACCTAATTCGACTGCCGCAATGAAAGGCCAGGCTGCGGGGATATCAGCGCCGCGAAGTCAAACTGGCGCGGAGGCATCGGCCAACCTCTCCAATGAGGCTCCACACGCAGTCGCGCCTAGATCCTCTCCCGCCACGGCGAAGGAGCCAGTCTGGACAATGCCGCCCGTTCTGGAATCAAGATGGCTGCCGTGGAAAGATTGCCTCGGGGTGATCGTCGCCCAGAACCTCCGTTAAAACACCGCCTCGATGTCCACTCGCGATTGCGATGTTATTCCATCACACGCTTCAACTCCGGCGCCGCCTTCACCGGCCATCGCAAGAAAGCAAGTCGGCGTTGACCTGAATACCCTCCTCTAACAGCCCCACCAAACATCTGTCAGCAGACTCGCATGGAGCCCACGCAACAGGGGGGGCTGCGTTCCTCGGCCAACACCTGTCGGAGGCGCGCCCCGCCTCACATCAGTTATCTCCCCACCCCCGAAAGATTGCCCACCTGCGTCGAAGCCCAAGCGCGCCAGTCTCGGATCGAGACCCACCCCCCCTCCCAGCAGCGCAACGGCAACTCGTGCGAATGGCGCCCCACGCAGCCCCGGCCCCCCCTTTTCACCTTCCAACTCAGCCCGCGGAATATCATAAGACCCCTGACACTTCGAAGCCCAGTCGAGCGCAGATGACCAAGAAGCCGACGCGGGCTGCCGTTGTCGATGGAGTCCAATCAAACAATGTCGACCCCCCGGCGGCAGCACCACAGCGAACTCACCAACGCGCGCTGAAGAATTTCAGAACGCCATCTAATCATCTTGAACCTGGGATCCTGAAGCCACAACTGGAACAGAAGCCCCCTCGATGCTCTCGAACAGCACCGCCGCCTTTCAAGACCGGGAAAACCGCCACCGTGCCGCGGGACACGGAATAGGCGCGTTCGCAGGTCCTCTGCCCAATCCTGTAAGACTCAATCCTCGCCCCCGCGGAGTCTCTAAGGGGCCCGGACCCCGAGTGCTCGAATCTGCCGGGGCCAGGCGCGCGCCCGCAAGGCGGCGGCGCGACCCCCCGCTCGACTTCCCCAATGCCAATGGGGCCCCAAGACGAGCCGAGAAGGCCCCAGGAGGCCCCAAAACTGGTCCAGGGGGGTTGCAAGTCACCGAGCGACCGCTCCAAGGCACCCAAGATGGCCCCCAGACGGCCCAAGAAGCCTCCAAAACGCCCCAAAGAGATCTCCGCGGGGCCTTCCAGGAGGGCCCCAAGAAACCAAAATCCTAAATTGTCGCTTGCAGTTCGAACGGTTTCGGCGCTCTCCCCTTCTCAGCATCCTCGCGCTCCAAGACGGCCCGCGAGGCCCCCGAGATCGCCCCAAGGCGGCCACAGAGGGCCCCAAGAGGACCCCAAGACGACCCCAGAGGGCCCACCAACGGTCCAAGAGGCGCCCAGAACGGCCCAAGGGAGGACACAGGCGGCCCGAAGAGGGGGCCCAGATGGGTAACCCGAACAAACATTTCGAGCCCTCGGCCCCGAGGGACCCCCGACGAGGCCCCATGGGGGCCCCTGGAGGCCCCCAAGGCACCAGGAGGCCCCCAACATGCCCCAAGAGGCCACCCCGAGAAGCCCCCACGAGGCCCCCAGACTGTTCCCACCCGAGAGCGCTCCTGAGAGAACCGAACATGTATCCATGAGAACTCTGACCCGCAAGCCAGGCACGGTGGCGGGATGAGCCAAAGACCATAGATACCTCCGTCACTCGGGAAGGGTAGGCCATCATGCCACAACCTCCGACAGACATGCCGCCACATCTTGAAAATAACGGGAATGGGAACACTTGAAATTCCAATCCCATCATGCTTCTTCACCTCGAAATGCTGCTGACGAGCGAATCCCTTTCAAGAAAAATCGTCTTCCGGGCGGTTATTCCAAGATGAAATCACAAACTCCTGGTTCGGCGATGGAGTGTTCCTCTTGAACCTGAGGCGTTGAAACTTCAACTGGTGCCGAAAATTCGTCGATGCCCTCGAACCGCATCCCTTCCTCCTTGGACCATGGAAATAAATCCGCAACCGGGAAACGGCACCCCCACCGCACCACCACCTCTGAAACAAAGGCAATCCCATCCTGGAAATACTGGCAGCATTGGAAATGATTCACCCAACTTGTGACGACGACCTCGCCGTGCTAGTTCTGCTGCTGCTGACTTTTTGCGCTGCTCCTCGACTGACTGCTGGGCGTTGACTCTACTTGCTGCCGACAAGGCACCAGCGTCGACTCCACCACCGCCTCCTTCAAGATCAGCGTCGTGAGCAGCACGAGAAGGACGTTCCAAAGCGGCGCTCTCGGGCGTCGAAAAAGCTGCTGCAGCGGCCCCATCCATAAGCGATGTGCCTGCATTGTCTGGGAGACCTGGGGGGATTCTGCATGCAACGATGAAATATGTTTGCCGGTTGGGCCAGGATCATTAGCCACATCGGTCTGCACGGCATTGGCGAGCTGGCTGTTGATCTTTTCCCGCTCCTGCTTCTCTGTGTCTTGGAGCTCTTGCCCCTCGAGATCAAACATCGGGCCGTCGATGAATGACAGTTTTTGTTATTCACCTCCTACACCTTCGAGGACCACCGTGCAATGGATGGCCTAAGTAGGAGCAGGTGCCTTTTTGGTCGTCGGTGTCGACGCGTTTGGCGCGCGCACTCTTCCATTCCAGCGTAGTCCGATGCGGTTATTGAGCAGCCTTGCTCTCAGCCCCGCGGGCTTAAGCCATTCCTCCGCCTCGAAGACCTCGCCAAGGCATATGTCGATGCGTGACTGAGCACGGCGGCATGCAATACCCTTTGAGGCGCTTCTCCCCCCAAGAGTGGCGGGCGTGACAAAATGAGAAAGTCGGCGTCCGAGACCTGGGGGATGTCATCCCGAACTCGAGCAAGACCACGACTGGTAAGTGGGTGCTGCATTCGCCTCTGATTTGGGCGCAAGTGGGCGACCTGGACCTTTCGTAGCACCGTACGGCGCGCATTTGCCGCTCTCAATGACCTTGTCCTCTGCGAACGGCGAATGCTCCGCGGGGGGAACTGCTGGAGGGCCAAGCATCAAAATGCCACGCCCGCTGGTTCGAGGGCCACATCTGGATTCGGCACTAACGATTGCGCATACTGGTAGCATCCGTGATTAAACTTGGAAGATCCCACCTGTACGCGCACTGGGCGCACAGTACGTATTAGTTGCGCCTGCCGCCCCCTTTTTCCGAACTGGGAGCCACGGCTCCACTCATTCGCCGTGCCAATGTCGTGGCGACGAGGGGGGGCGAACCAAAGGTGGCAGCGCGCAGCTGCAAGGCGGACGCGCGAGCAGGGCGAACTGCCAGCGGAGGAAGGCTGGGCGGACGACCTCCCGAGGGATGGAACACTGGCCGCGGACCAGCGGCATCCGCAGGGTTCGCTGGGAACCTGAAAATATGGATCTAAAACGACTACGGGGGGAGGAGGAGGAGGAGGAGGAGGAGGAGGAGGAGGAGGAGGAGGAGGAGGAGGAGGAGGAGGAGGAGGAGGAGGAGGAGGAGGAGGAGGAGACGCAGCAGCAACAGGAGCATGAGCAGGAAAAAGCGGGGAGAGCCGGAGGAGGAGGAGGATGAGGAGGAGGAGGAGGAGGGGAGGAGGAGGAGGAGTAGGAGGAGCAGGAGGAGGAGGAGGAGGAGGAGGGGGAGGAGGAGGGGTGAGGAGGAGTGAACTGTGGAGGGTGCAGAAAGGCGGGAGGAGGAGGAGGAGGGGGAGGACGAGGAGGAGGACCCGAGCAAACCAAGGATGCATCGACGATGCTGCAGTAAACACACACACACACCACCCATGCCCAAATGAGCAGTACTTTCCTCTACGGGAGGCGTCGCCTTGAAAGGCGCGCGTCCCCTGGGCCGGCCATTTAAGCGAACGGCCCGCTCTAAAAAAGAGCCGCCGTTGATCCTTCTGGCTATGAAAAACAAGTTCAAGGATGTGCCCAGCAAGAGCCGATGTGTGACACATAACCGTCCTACATCGGCGTAGCTATGAATTGAAACAGAGCGTACGGCTTCAAAATCGAGAGCCCAGAGTCGAGTTTCAACAACAACCGCCCTACATCCGACGAGCTCCTAAACGAGAGTCGAGTTGCGAATGGCTACTGTCCTTTATCAGTAAAACCGCTGCACCACGTTGAACTGATGTAGCCAAGTCAGACGGCGACTCAAGCAAAACACACAAATTCAAAAAAGGCCGCCCTCCATCCGTGTAGCGGCTCCAAAAATTAAGCACGAAAGCGAAAGCGCACGGCACTACAGCCATCGCACTACCAGAAAAACGCTGGATAGCCAACCGAAAAAATGTTCTGGCCACGGCCTCGGCCACCAATAGGCTCCCTGACGTGAATCTAACTGCTTGGAGATCAGAACCCGTCCTGAGTTCAATGTCGTACGATCCTTGCTTCAACGCTTTGACTGGAAGATGCGAACCTCATCCTGCAAACGGACCGCCGTCCGTCAACGTATGTGCTGAGACTTGTGCGACAGCTGTGCGTGCCAGAAAGAAGAGAGTCACACTTTGAAAACCCACCGCCTTCAATCCGCAGAGCTGCTGGAAGTAGAAAGCTTCAGGGCCAGCAGTCTCCAGCAAAACGCCTGGCCCGCCCTACCGCTTGGCCGTGCGATGAGGAAAGTCTCGAAGGAAAGAAAGGTGCAGAAAGAGGAACGCCAGCACCAAAAAGGTCAGAGCCCCCCGATGACCAATGCCACGGCCTCGGCCATGCGTATGGCCTCGCAACACCTGGCGGGAAGGGGATCGCGCATAGAGGGTGGAGGAGGAGGAAGAAGATCAGGATAAGGGGGGGAAGGTGGGAGGAGCTGAAGGAGAGGGGAGGAGGAGGAGGAGGAGGAGGAGGAGGAGGAGGAAGAGGACGAGGAGGAGGCACAGAAGTTGGAGGAGAAGTGGGAAAATGACGGGGGGCTGACTTGGCAGGAGTGGCGTAAGCCTCCGGGAAGTAGTTGCGCCTGCGTCTCTCTCAGGAAGGGGACGTTCAGAAGTGCCACGCCTGGAGTTGAGGGCGTTGGCGAGGAGGGATTGGAGGAGGAGATGGAAGGAGGAGGAAGAGGCGGAGGAAGGGGAGGAGGACAAGAACGAGGAAGAATACGAGGAAGAGGAAGAGGAGGAGACGAGCATGAGAGAGCGAAGGAGGAAACTAAGGATGAGGAGAAAGAGGAGAAAGAGGAGGACTGTGTCGCTACAGTCGTTCCTCTTGCACGCCCAGCGCAGGGGCCAAGACGTTCCACCGTGACAAGCATCCTGGTGTTATGACGAGGCCATTTGACGTGGCCACAACTATGGCACACACGCATGACTGCTGTAACGCCTTTGGCACGGGCCCAAGCATTTTTCTGAGCGCGCCGCGGGCCGCCTCCGACTGGTAACCCCTGTCGAGATAGAAGAACCTGCGGACGCTGGTCACGAGCAAGCCAAGGCTGCCGCTGTAAAGCGCAAAACTACAGGTTTCGCCGAATGCCTTCCGCAGCCTTGTCCTTTCAAATGCATGAGGGCTCGAGGTGTGCAGACATTTTACCAGACAGTGTCTCGGGTGGAAATAGACCCTACAGAACTGATGCAAGCCTTCGCTGGCATCCTGGCTCATGTTATAATATCCACCGGATTGGTGCCCCACGTGAGCGAGAGTCTGATACCGTTAAGCTGTTTTCCGAAATCGTAACCGACAGAAGCCAGTCAACGCATTAGGGCTCAAGAAACAACATGCGCTGATCGCGTGGTGGCTTCGCGGTGCATCAGCGCGTGTTTGATCATGTTTTGAACGGCCGTGCATTCGCGGTGTGTTCTTACCCGCCCGGCGCGGCCTGGTACGTAGTACAGGTGAGCCGCCAAAGCAAAAACTTGTTTCGACCAGGTTCCCCGACGCGGACTACTGTCACCGTGGGGACTGCCCAGGTGCCGAAATCATTCGTGTACATCCGTGCAGACACGCAATGTCGACTTGCAGGTGTTCTTCGTTTGGGGTGTTGGTTGCGCTGTCGGGCGCGAGTTCATTGGTTCAGAACTCAGATACTAGATCCACGCGCGCTGTGCGCGCTGATCGCTTAGGTTTAAACAAGCACTGGCTGTAGTCCGAAGTGTTCGGTACTCGAAGGCACAAAGTGATTAGAACCACGCGCGCGCTTCGCGTTCTTAAGTTCGAATGTGCACCTGACCTCGGGTGCAAAACCCACGTTTTGAACAAGAAGGAGAAGAAGGACCAGAAGAATAATAAAAGGAAGAAGAAGAGAAAGAAAAAGAAGAAGCAGGAGAAGATGATTACGAAGAATAAGAAGAAGAAGAGTGGCCTGCGTGCCAGCTCCCAGAGGAGCGGCCCCCTAAAGGGCAGACGACACAAAGAAGAGAAGGCAGGCATTGTGCAACCGAAAATCCTGACGAACGTGCGCGGGGGGCCTCGTTCATGACAGCGGCAAAAAAAACAACAGCCGTGAGAACAAAGAAGGAGGAGGAGGGGGGAAGGGGGAGAGGACGAAGAAGAGTAGCAGGGGAGCAATAGCGACAGATCAAAGGACGTGATTCTCTGCATCCCGCAGCCAGAGACGTGGTCTACCTGGTCGACGTGCGGCCAAGCAGCGATACCGTGGGCGCCAACGAGGTAGGAGAGGGTTCCACCTTTCTGTGTTGCCATGCGCTGTTTTAGCGGCGATGTTCGCATTCCCATCGGGTTGCGTGACTGCCCAAGTTCTGAAACCCAATCAGCGCATCTTGTCTCCGCGTGCGCCACTGCCCGCAGCACGTAATCTGCCCACGGTTTTTGGTCGCCTCCCGGGGTACCGAATATATTCCGCACCGCGTTCCGCCAGATCGCCCACGGCATGCGACGACGCCGCGCGGAAAGTCTTCATCACTCGCACCCGTACACCGCTACTGGCGTGACCAGTACATCGAACGGTCCCAGCCTGAACCAGAGCGAATAGGGTTCTCGAGAAAGCACACCCCCAGAACTTCCCCAAGCAACGCCACGCTCCATCCATTCTGTTAGACACTGCAAAAAAAATCGAGCCATGGGCGCAGTCCCAAATACTTCTCGTAGTTCGCTGGTGGAACAACATCCAAGCCAGCGCCGTCAATTGTGATGCAGGAAGGCAAAGTCAAGCTGGCGTTCGTGAGTTCCCTCGTCTTTCCAAGTGCGCACAGCAAGGCCGAACTTCGCTGCCTCGCTCTTTCAAGCCGCCAGAATTTGGAAACGACAAGTTTGCTCACAACGATCAACGAAACATCGTTTGCAAACCTGAGGTGTGGTGAAGGGTCACCTGGAGAGTCCGCCACCAATCCGTAATCACACCCTCTTCTCCGCTTGGTGAGGCCATTCCACCGCTTTCTAAAAAAAATCCGAAGGCAAACTTCAATCACGGCTATAAAAAGAAGCGCGCTGAGAAGATCGCCTTGTTTGACTCCACGGGGTAACGTAAAACTCCTCGACGAACCCTGGGTAGAGACCAGTGCAATGTGATGCCTGATGCTTGTACAGCTACAGGAGAAGCGCAATATACTTTTCACAGACATGAAGAAGCACAAAGAACTTCCCAGAGACTCGAGTTCTCAACCGTATCGAACGCCTTCTCAAAGTCCACCAGTCCAATACATAGGTCATGGACCCACTCCGCGCATTCCTCCACCAGCAAGGTGATTGACAGCATGTGGTCAATCGTTGAGTACCCTTTCCTGTACGCTGCTTGGTCCTGCGACTGCTGCGGGATGATCCTCGCTTCTGAAGTGAAACGAGTGTGTGAGAAAGCACACATGCGTGTGCACACATGCGTGTGAATGAGCACACGTGCACGCGGACCCACATGTGCACACACTTCTGGAACACACTTTGGGGCAACCGGGGGGCGCCACGCATTGGGGGCTACAGGTGGGGGCTGCAATTGGGGGCCATGCTTGGGGGCCATGTTTGGGGCCATGTTGGGGGGTAAGCACGGAGTGCGATGTATGATTTACATTGGTAGTTGCAGTGTCGCCCTCGCTCCGTCTGGAAACTCGAAAAATAAATCGCCCGAAGGCGCCCAATTGAAGCCTGAGGGACCCCAACTGGGCCCCAACTGACCCCACGGAAAGCCCTGGACCGCCTCGAGAACTACCCAGCAAGCCTCCTGGAGTAATACTGAGACCAGCGTCTGGGCGGGAGCGCCAGTCCAGGCTGGTAACGCGGCTGGCGCTGGAGCGAGAACTCGTTCTGGGCTGGAGTACAGCCAGCAGCTAGGCGGGTACAGGGACGCGGCCCACACAAAGGCAAAAACGACAAGTCGGACCACGAGTATGGCTCGCGCCGATGCGGGATCGTTTCCGCCTGCTTTCCCCCCTTGGGAGCGCGGCCGAGGCGAAGGGGAGAGCTACACTTCCAAGCCGCGGACACGGGCTGCTACCAGCGCGCACGGTCCAGGAACCATTGCCAGCCCCGCTCCCGCGCGGAAGCCCGCGGCAGGGGGGTGGGGACGGCGTCCAGGACACCACGACTTCAACCTCGAGCGCCCCCTAGGCACCGCCCCGTGGCCGCGTACCGCGGCCCGGGGGGGCGTCCAGGACACCACGTCTTCAACCTTAAGCCTCCCAGGCATCTCACCTTGATCGCGTCTCGCAGCCGCGGGGGCGCCTCGGGACACTACGGCTTCAACCCTCGAGCGCCCTCCTGGCACCCCCCTTTGACCGCGTCTCGCGGCCGGGGAGGCGCCTCAGGACACCACGGCTTCAACCTTGAGCGCCCCCTGGGCACCCCCCACTCATCGCGTATCGCGGCCGGGGGACTCGCCTAGGGACATCACGGCTTCAACCTTGGACGCCCCCGTCTCGCGACCGGGGTGGTGCCTAGACGCACCACGGCGTCAACCTTGGACGCCGCCCGCTGCCACTTCCTCCCTCCTCCCTCCCCCATCTCCTTCGTCCTTTACGTCCGTCCTGCCCCTTCCCTTACTACGCAGAATGCTCGGCACCCCCCTCCCCCTACGAATGCATATTCCCTTCCCTAATGCCACTCTTCCTCTTCCTCCTCCTCCTCCTTCTCCTCCTCCACCTCCTCCTCATCCTCCTCCTCATTCGGCCTCCTCCTCCTCCTCCTCTTCCTCCTTCTCCTTATTATCCTTTTCCTCTTCCTCCTCCTCCTCCTCATCATCATTATCATCCTAATCCTTATCCTCATCCTCATCCTCATCCTCATTCTAATTATCAGCTTCATCCTCATCCTCATCATCATCCGATCCTCATCATCATCCTCATAATCCTTTTATTCTTCTCCATCAGCAGTATCATCAGCATAATCAGCATCAGCATGCTCATCATCAGCAGCATCATCAGCATCACCCTCATCATCATCAGCAGCAGTATCATCATTATAATCATCAGAATCACCATCATCATCAGCAGCAGCATCATCATCACCATCACCATCACCATCACCATCATCATCATAATCATTGTACTCATCATCAACATCATCATCATGATCAACAACAGCATCACCACACAGGTTGCACAACGCATCTTGCACAACATGTATTGCACAACGCGTAATGCTTTACATCGATTGGTTCACATTTGCTGCGGCACAACGACCGCACCGCATAGATTACACAACCTTGATTGTCCACCAGGTATTGCACCGCATAGATTGCACCACTTAGTTTGCACAACATATATTACACAACATGTATTGCACAACCCATGTTGTACCGCACAGGTCAAACCCTCTCAACGCTGCACAACATAGGTTGTACAACATTGGATGCACAACCTAAATTGCCCCTACGCAAAGGTATGAGGATAAGACGCCCCCCAGGTTAACAGTACACCTGTTTCGCACTCCAATGTAAGTACGATTCTGCCCCATCGTCCATCCGAAATATGAACTCGTACCATCCCAGCCAGGCCAGGAGCTCGCCCCCTTCATCCTCTGATAAGAAAACACTATGCGCGCGCACTCGCTTCTCAAAATCATCCAGTTCCAAAAATCCTTTGCAAGAAAAAACGAAGCGACATGAACGTGCGCGCGTCGTCTCGCCCGCATGCCAAAACCCATCAAAAACCTTAAAAGTTCCGTACGGATTTCAACTTCGAGGGTCGCAAAAGCATGTTTATACAATGACTCCGAAACAGAGGCGTTCAACAACAGCCTGCGCCCGCGCTTCTGTGAAAACCATCGGAGTTCCAGCATCTTCAAAAAAAAGCTACCACGCGGGCTTTCGTGCGCGCATGCCGAAATCGTTCGAACGCCCTTTTTCGCGCGTGCTGTCGCAAGAACCCCTTGCAAAACATGCGACATGCACGCACGCGTGTCGCAAGGATGTCAAAAACGAATGGCCCGAAAACGCGGTAAAAAAAACGTTTTGCAACACCAATGATCACACAATCCTGCGCTCGCGGTCTTGCGGGCGGTTAAAGAAACCATCGGCTTTCCCGCACGCTCATCAAAAAAATCTGCCAGACGGGCCGTTCGCGCCGCATGTCGAACTCATTCGAACGCTTTTGCGCGCGTGCTGGAGGGGGCATGACCCGTGTCAAAATGACACCACGCGGGCCACTCGCGCGCGTTGGCCGCGCGCGCATGTCGAACTCCTTCAAAGACCTTCGTCGCCGACGCGGGGACATCGTCATCGCTATCGGCGGGCATGATCAACCTCGGCGCCGTCTTCGGCCTTGCCGTCGTCATCGCCACCATCGCCACCATCTTCGTTACTCGCATAATCGTGTCTACCATTGCCGGCGTTGCCATGATACCGCGCCCGCCCATGTCACCGACTCGCACTGAAGTGCCCACGGGGAAGAGCCCAGCGGTCAGCGCCACCGCGGCCGCGTCGGTCGCGCCAAACGAGCTGGCCCCCGTGCGCGCGGGCATGCGCGGGCCAGCGCAGCCGAAAAGCTGAACCAGCCAACGCCAAGCACTCATCGCAATCGCCGCCGCATCGGTTATGCATACCATCTTGCGGGTGGGTGGGTGGGATGTTTGCAAGAGCATGGAATATGTCAACTCGCTTAAAATCAATTGCACCACATAGGTAGCTCCACAAAGACTGCGCGACATAAATGATCCAGGGGTGCCGCCACCACCACCACCCAATGCATATGGAATCCAGCCGCCCCCCTCTGGATGGATACGTCCATGAGCCTCGCGAAGGCCGCCTCGCGAATGTGGTTGCCCCCCCCCTGTGGTCGTGGCCCTGTGGGCGTGGCGTGGTGGAGGGTGCCAGTGAACCCTCCCTCCCTCCCCGTGTGGGTGTGGGGTGGCCTATCGTCGTCGTCGGCGGCGGCATCGGCGTCGGCGTCGTCATCGTCACCCCCCCCATCCCATCTGGAGGGGGGCTGTGGAACACTGGGACCCATCCCATTTGGGGGGGGGGCCTGTGAACCTTCGACCCAGGATCATAGATGGATAGCCGAACAATGTTTGAGGTCCACGCTGGCTAACATGCTTCGAATCAGGCAAAATATTATGTTGCAAGATGCCGCAGCATGAGCATCGTCCATCCATGTAACCGTTGGTTTCTGAAGAGTGGCGTGCGCAACGCCAAATCCCGAGCCCAAGTTTGAAAACCAAGGGGCCGTGAACTGAGGCTCGCAACAGTATGCCTCTTACCTGCCTTGACGTGCAAGAAGGGCATTGCTCTCGAAGCAAGCAAGGTCCTCGATGATGAACAATTATGTCCAACTTCTACGGGACCTCAACCGCGGTCCACACCGGGGAGGAGAGAGGCAAAGCGGCGAGGGGGGACGGGCCTGCGAAGGAGGGGAGGAGGAGGAGGAGGAGGAGGAGGAGGAGGAGGAGGAGGAGGAGGAGGAGGAGGAGGAGGTGGAGGAGCGGGAGGCGGAGGTGCAGAAAGAGCAAGAGGAGTAGGAGCAGGAGGTGGAAAGGGAGCAACGCCAGAAAAAAAAGGCTTCTGAGGACCCTAAACTGCTGTTATAAGTACCCTTGGGGAGCACGCAGCCCACTCTCGTGGCCGCACTCCCGCTCGACGGCTCACGACGAACGCGCTTGCAAACGGCAGGGGTGACTCGCTGGAGGCGCCTTCGACATTGACATGTGGACCTCTCCCAGGCTGTTCCGACCAGGATTCCAAGGTGGATCCAGCCGTAGCCACAGTGACTCTTCAGGAGGCCCAGAAAGGGCCAGGTAAATTCCCCCGCGTGCTTCTGACACTCCAGAGGTCCCCAGAGGCCGAGAATCCTCCTCCTCCTCATTCTCCCCCTCTTCTTCTTATTCTTGTTATTATCACTCGAATTCGTATTCTTCTTATTACTCTGATTAATATTATTATTCGCATTCTTCGTAGTAGGATTATTCGTACTATTCTTATTAATACTATTCTTCACATCATTATTATTATTCGCATTCGTATTATGCGACTCCGCCTCCGCCTCCTCCTCATCCTTCCCCTCCTCCTCATCATCCTCATCCGTTCCTCCTCCTCCTTCTCCTCCTCATCCTCCTCATCCTCCTCCTCCTCCTCCTTCCTCCTCCTCCTCCTCCTCCTCCTCCTCATCATCATCATCATCATCATCATCATCATCATCATCATCATCATCATCATCATCATCATCATCATCATCATTATTATCATCCTCCTCGTGCTCCTCCTCCTCCTCCTCCTCCTCCTCCTCCTCCTCCTCCTCCTCCTCCGTTTCCGTCCGGTCGACCGGCGCTTGGTTCGACCGCCTCGCGGTCGCCATCTTCGCGGGGGAAGGCCAGGGTCGGAGTGATGCCTTTGCCTTGCCGTGAGCCAAAAGGCTCCTGGAGGGAAGGGGGTCCTAGGCCACGGGGCTTGCCTGGAGCCTTGCAGTTGGCTTCCCCTGGAGCCTTCCAGGATCCAGGAAGGCCCCCCGGCCCAGGACTTCGCTCCCCTCAGGATCCCGTTGGCGCGCGGCGCTTGCCGAAGTAGGCGATGGTGAACGGCCGAGCGAGGAGAACGCTTGCGTCCAGCAACAGGCAGTACTCAACCGAGGGGGGGAGAAGGCAGAGGGGGTTCGAGGGTCGAGGTGATTGACGTTTTTGTCGATTTGGGTGCCTCCTGCAACGCCCTCACGCCACGGCCCCTCGAAGTTCTGGTCGGAACGCTTTCCAGGGGAGGTCCAGGAGTCAGTTTTTGAGGGAGGAGGAAGAGGAGGAGGAGGAGGAGGAGGAGGGAGGAAACAGAGGAAGAGGAGGAGGAGGAGGAGGAGAAGGAGGAGGAGGAGGAAGGAGGAAGGGAGAAGAGAGAGGAGAAGGAGCAGAGAGGAGAGACAGGAATGAGGAGCATTCATGCTTCTCCTTCCTCCTTCCTCCCTCTTTCCTCCCCCCTCCTCAATCTCCTCCCTCCCTCCTCCTTCCCTCCCTCCTTCCTCCTTCCCCTCCTCCTCCTCCTCCTCCTCCTCCTCCTCCTCCTCCTCCTCCTACTCCCCCTCCTCCAACGCGCGGAAGAGGAGGAGGAGGAGGAGGAGGAGGAGGAAGGAGAAGGAGAAGGAGAAGAAGGAGAAGGAGAAGGAGAAGGAGAAGGAGGCAGCGGAGGAGGAGGAGGACAGGAATGAGGAATATGCATTCATGCCTCTCCTTCCTCCTTCCTCCCTCTTTCCTCCCCCCCTCCTCAATCCCCTCCTCCTTCCCCTCCTCCTTCCCCTCCTCCTCCTCCTCCTCCTCCTCCTCCTCCTTCTCCTCCTCCTCCTCCTCCCCCTCCTCCAACGCGCGGAAGAGGAGGAGGAGGAGGAGGAGGAGGAGGAGGAGGAGGAGGAGGAGGAGGAAGGGGACGGGCGCGAAGGGCGAGCACTGGACCGACACGTGGAAGGGGATGTCGATGTGCTGCCACCTGCCGAAGAAGTCGCCCCCGTCCACCGCCGGGCCGCCCGCCGGCCCCTGCCCCGCGAGCCGCAGCCGCTCGACCTTGTCCCGCCAGGGCGGCCGGTGGTCGCGGAGGCGGACGCCCTGCCTGACCAGCCAGGCCCGGAAGCCGACGTCGCGGCTCCCGTGGTACAAGACGTACACCGCGGCGGCGGGCATGTGCCTCTCGGACCCCCCATCGAGCCACGACAAGAAAAAGACGCGGCGGGAGGTGCTCGGTCATGCTCGGCCCTCGTGGGCCCTCGCTGGACCCTGGGGACCGTCAGAAAGCGGCTCAGGATGGAAAAAGTGGTAGGGATGGGGTCGAGATCGAGGCCTGGGGCGAACAAAACAAATACAGTAAGTAACAATACAACAACAACAACAACAACAACAACAACAACAACAACAACAACAACAACAACAACAACAACAACAACAACAACACAACAACAACACAACAACAACAACAACAACAACAACAACAACAACAACAACAACAACAACAACAACAACACAACACCACACCAACAACAACCACAACCACAACCACAACCACAACAACAACAACAACAACAACAACAACAACAACAACAACAACAACTACAACAGCAACAACAGCAGCAGCAGCAAAAGCAGCAGCAGAAACAAACGCAGCAGCAACAACAACAACACGACGACAACGACGGCAATTATAACAACAACAACAACAACAACAACAACAACAACAACAACAACAACAACAACAACAGCAGCAGCAGCAACAACAACAACCACAACAACAACAACAACAGCAGGAGCAGTAACAACAACAACTGCAACAACAACCACAACAACAACAACAACAACAGCAACAAAATGACGCCAGGGCCTGGCGAGGGGGGGCAAGAAGAGGGGGCTATGGGCAGCTGGAGCGTGTGGCACACATGGCGTACTCGGAGCACGTGGCGCATCTGGCGCACCAGGCGTGCCTGGCACGCTCGGGCCCCAGGGGTGCCTGGCGCGCATGGCGCCCTTGGCACGCGTGGCGCACCTCGCCCAAGCGTCGCGCACCTGGGCCCTAGGAGCACCCAAGAGCGCTCCAAGAGCGGCATAAGAGGGCCCCGGGGCGCTGTGTTTGAGCCTCCGAGGGGGTGGGACCTGACTTGGTTAGCACCCCTTTTTTTGAGCCGTGGGGCCCCAGAGGACTCCGAGACCTCTCCTATGAGCCCCAAGAGGGCCCCAAGGCCCCCATAATGAGCTCGCCGTAATCGTCCTCCGACAACCTCTCACAACAACATCTATCCAAAGCCCGACTTCTCAATTTCCGTGTCATCGCCCGTGCCTTCCTTCATCCTTTCCTGTCTCATCCCTCGTCCTGCTCCTGTTCATCCTACTGATATTCTTCCTCGTGCCGCATTCCTCCTCCTCCTCCTCCTCCTCCTCCTCATCATCATCATCATCACCACCACCACCATCATCAACATCATCATCAGCATCATCAACATCAGCAGCATCAGCATCATCATCAGCATCATCATCATCATCATCATCATCATCATCATCAGCATCATCATCATCATCATCATCATCATCATCATCAGCATCATCATCATCATCATCATCCTCATCATCATCATCATCATCATCATCATCATCAGCATCATCATCATCATCATCGATATCATCCTCATCCTCATCCTCATCCTCATCTCATCCTCATCCTCTCTCCTTCTTCCCCCTCCTCCTCCTCCTCCTCCTCCTCCTCCTCCTCCTCCTCCTCTTTTTCCTCCTCCTCCTCCTCCTCCTCCTCCTCCCCTTCCTCCTCCTCCTCCTCCTCTTCCTCCTCCTCCTCCTCCTGTTCCTGCTCATCCTCCTCCTCCTCCTCATCCTCCTCCTGTTCCTGCTCCTCCTCCTCCTCCTTCTCCTCCTCCTCCTCCTCCTGTTCCTCCTCCTCCTCATCCTCCTCCTACCCCCAAGATGGTCGCAGGAGGTCGAGAATGGCTCAAGTTTGCTTCCGACAGACCTCCAAAAGGCCTCAAGACAGCCTCAGCTCCAAGATGGCCCAGGGTAGCTCAGCATGGCTCAAAATAGCCTCCGACACCCTCTAGCCGAACATGGCTCAAGATAGCCTCCAAGAGGCATCAAAAAAGCCTCGATCGTGTCTGGCTGGGCTGGCGGGGATACGTGTTTGCTGATCGCGAGCGCAAACGGAAAGGCCGCGCGCCGTCCAGAGCTACTGCTAACCAGCAGGAGCCGAAATTGTACACTAGAGGGAGGAGAAGAAAGAGAACAGGAGAACAGCGGAAACTGGTGGGGATTCGCGGAGCGTCAAGAATTTGGTAAGTGTTGAACCCCATGCCCGCGATGTTAAACCCATCAGGATAATAAAATTCGGGGTCGATGTGGGGGTAACGAACGTTTTCCGGGCAGGTCGCAGCACAAAGGACGTTGAAGGTGCTGCTGATGATGATGATGGTGATGGTGATGATGCTGATGATGCTGATGATGATGACGATGGTGATTGTGATGGTGATGGTATCCTAGCCGCGCTCTGCACATCCTAAAGCTGGCCCACGCTCTCGAGATTCCAACAGTAGCAGTAGTCGTAGTCGTAGTCGTAGTCGTCGTAGTTGTAGTTGTAGGTGTAGTTGCAGTTGCAGTTGTAGGAGGGGTAGTAGTAGTGGTAGTACTAGTAGTAGTAGTAGTAGTAGTAGTAGTAGTAGTAGTAGTAGTAGTAGTAGTAGTAGTAGTAATAGTAGTAGTAGTCGTAGTAGTAGTAGAGTAGTAGTATAGTAGTAGTAGTAGTAGTAGTAGTGTAAGTAGTAGTAGAGTAGTAGTAGTACGCTACTACCACTACTATACTACCTACTACTACTACTAGTAGTAGCAGTAGGAGTAGGAGTAGGGAGTAGGAGTAGGAGTAGGAGTAGTAGTACTAGTAGTAGTAGTAGTAGTAGTAGTAGTAGTAGTAGTAGATGTAGTAGTAGTAGTATTTAGTATTTTGGGTAGTATAGTACGCGTATTAGTAGTAGTACTAGTAGTAGTACTAGTACTAGTACTAGTAGCAGTAGTAGTAGCAGTAGTAGCAGTAGCAGTAACAGTAGCAGTAGTAGTAGCAGTAGCAGCAGTAGTAGTAGTAGTAGTAGTAGTCGTGGCAGTAATAGTAGTAGTAGTAGTAGTAGTAGTAGTAGTAGTAGTAGTAGTAGTAGTAGTAGTAGTAGTAGTAGTAGTAGTAGTAGTAGCAGTAGTGGTCGTAGTGGTAGTAGTAGCAG